TATATGTATATGTATGTATGTATATGTATATTGTAGCATAACTATGTATGCTTATTGTAGCACAATTATTTGGCACTTGCCTGCTGTTCCAGCACTCTGCAGTTCTCACTGGATCTCATTATATATATTTGTATTTATATTCATTATAACTAAGTTGAACTAAGTCAGGAATCAAACAGATTTGGAGTTTCACTGTTTATTGTAGCACAACTATTTGGCATTTGCCTGCTGTTGCAGCACTCTGCAATTCTCGCCGGGTCTCTCTCATACATATATGTATATATGTATAACTATATACAGACACACACTGTATATAGTTGTGTATGTATGTATGTATGCATGTATGTATGTATGTATGTATGTATGTGAGACCTGGTGAGAAATGCAGAGTGCTGGAACAGCAGGCAAGCGCCCAATAGTTGTGCTGCAATAAACAGTGAAACTTCAAATCTGTTTGATTCCTAACTTAGTTCAACTTAGTTAAATCTTGAGGATGAGATGCATAGTGCATTTCAGAGTTTGGCAACCTGGTGTTCTTAGATACCGTATTTGCCGGCGTATAAAACGACTGGGCGTATAAGACGAGCCCCCAACATTTCCACTCAAAATATAGAGTTTGTTATATACTCGCCGTATAAGATGACCCCCCCACTTGGAGCAAAGGCTGAAACCGGGAAGAGAAAACTTCCCAAAGAAAATCGCACAAGCAGCATCCCATTCCTGGGAGAAAAACAAAAAAACAAAAAACACGAACTCTTCCCAAAGCGCAAAAGCAAGGATGGCGCTTTCTCAGTTTTGAGCGGCGTCGCTGCTCTCCCACCCCCTCCACTCGTCCCCACGTGCGGCAAAGTTTCTGCCACTGGGGGGGTGGAGGGGGGTGGAAGGAGGTGAGGGATGGGGGCAAATCCTGGAGCCTGCCGGTCCGCTCGCACGAGCGGAGTGGGTGGGTGGGTGGGAAGGGAAAGGCCACGCTGCTGCCTGCAAGTGAAAGTGACGCGCCTGCCCCCTCCCCCCCGGGGGAAAGTGAAAGGCCTCCTCCCTTAAGCAGCCCCCGCGTGCGCGCCATCGGGACTCCAAGGGTGGGGGATGGACAGCTGCCAATTCTCTCTCTCTCTCTCTCTCTCTCTCTCTCTGTGTGTGTGTGTGTGTGTGTGTGTGGTGTGGAGGGTAATTCTGGCTATCTCTGGCCTCCGCTCGGTTTTAAAGTCGCTTGGCCGGTTCCCAAGTCGCAAGCGCGCGCTGGCCGGGAGACGCGGCGCTGGGTGGCAGCTCGGTGCCGGGGAGGCGGATCTTTCTCTCTTAAGCGGGGAGGGGAGGAGGGGACAAGAGGAGGAACGGGACAGGGGGCGGGAGGAGGTCCCTCGCCTTCTTCCACCGCCCACCAGACCCTTTTCTTCCCAAGGGGACCCTGGAAAGCAGTTCGGGAGCCGGGTGGCCCTGCCCAGCGGGGTCCCATCAGGAACTTCCCGAGGACACCCCCCCCCCCGCCCCAAGCACAGCCCTCCTGGTCTTTCAAAGAGGGAGGGAGAAGCGGGAGGAGCAAATTGCCGGCCCCGCCCCGCTGCCCAGAAGGAGGGGCGCCACAGTCCACCCCCACCACCTTCTCCCCCCCACTCCCCGGGCCATTACGCGGCTCGGGGCTGGCTGGGCGAAGCGGCTCCGCCAGAGACCCTCTCGCTCCACCCCCACCCCACCTCCAGATTGGCCTTCGCAAGCGCCCCGAGCTGGGCAGAGGGTGGGGGGGGGAGGAGGAAGAGAGACTCCGGCTGGGCTTGAAGGGGCTTCGCAAGTTGCGAAGCTCCGCCCCCGTCACTCTTGCACCGAGTGACAACAACGTATTTCCCGGCGTATAAGACGACCCCCCCACTTGGAGGCATGTTTTTCAGGGCAAAAAAGTCATCTTATACGCCGGCAAATACGGTAGATTGGATTCCAGTTCACATTTGTCTCATGTGGTAAATGTCTGAGAGTATGAAATTGCCATCCCAGTCTTCTGAGAGCACCGGTTTTGCCCTTCTATGGCTTATTTAAACCAAGGGTGTCATTTTGTTCCATTTGATCAGGTTTAGCTATGACCATGAGTTATGTATTTCGAGAGCCTGCCACAATCAACTATCCTTTTGAGAAAGGCCCATTGAGTCCCCGATTCCGTGGAGAGCATGCCCTGCGCAGATACCCATCTGGAGAGGAGCGATGCATTGCTTGCAAGCTGTGTGAAGCTGTATGCCCTGCTCAGGTGGGGCCTCTTTTTTCAACTTTTCCCTTCTTTTCCTACATGTGCGGTTTCCAAAATATTGCAAAACTCAGTGCAAAAAGCATTTTATTCCTAGCTACTGGTTACATACTACAGATGAAAATTGTACATTGGGTTAAAGAGCTGCCTCTAGGCCTAGTGGCCTCTCTGGCTGCACCTTATTTTCTCTTTTGTTTGATGGAAGATATTTTCCTTGCAGTAGGGAGAAACTAGATGAAGCTCTGAATAGCTTCCTAAAGCCTGTGCTCTAATCTTTTCCTGCTTGGTAGGTGATTTAATTTCCCTCCTGGAAGCGCATTCCCAGAAGTCCCATAAATATCAAGTAAATTGCAAGGAAATTCAATGAAGTCTGGATGTGACAATGTATATGTGAAGAGTTTCTGTGGTCTCAGTGAATCTGTATAGGAATATGTGTCTCAGCTGCAGAATTCCATTCACAAGCTGTTAACAATGAGAATGGAAACAATGTGCTTTTTTAATTAACGTAGGAGTTTAGCCCAAATTATATCATCATCTGATTGCTTCACACATGCATACAGTTCTAGAGTTAATACTAAAACCAGGGATTTTCCTCTAGCGCTAAGGGGAAGTTATTTAGGAATGGATGTTCCCTCTAATGCTAAAATTCTGTTGACTGTAGTGAAAGCACTTTTGTCTTCAAGAATCCCTTCTCTTCTGTGCTATTTACACAATTTTATCCCCCTCTAAATGTCTATGAACAAGAGGCAACTAGACTTTCTGATTTTTTCTTTGAAGACATTTTGCTTCTCATTCAAGAAGCTTCTTCAGCTCTATCTATCCCTCTCTTAGTTTTTTTTAACTGTTGCATATCTTTGATTCAGGCCCTTCATTCCAAATGAATTTATTACACCATGGATAAATTTCAGCTTGGATTGTCTAGACGTCAAAAACTGGAGTTTGGAATGTCAGCATGCTAAAGCAAGGTTTGATCATTTCCGTGAGCTGCGTTTGCAACTCAGCTTCAGGAATATCCAGTGTTGTTACTGGAAAAGGAGTAGTCAATTTTTGTGGGGGAATTTTTAAGCTAGGAGTGGGAATAGGAGGCTTTTGAGAAGCAACATTCTCCCGCCTGAAATTCTACTGCTAGGATTTTACCATTTTGCAGTTAAACTTTGAATAATCTCAAGGTGCTCTCCTGATTCTGAGAATCCTTTTTCTCAACAGGCAATCACTATTGAGGCCGAGACTAGAGCTGATGGTAGCCGCAGGACCACTCGCTATGACATTGACATGACCAAATGTATCTACTGTGGATTTTGCCAGGAAGCCTGTCCTGTTGATGCCATTGTGGAGGTGAATGAGGTGGTGGGTGGGTGATTTTTGTTAACTAAGAGGTCAGTCTGGATTTGATTTTACTATGTCTCTCTGCTCTGTCTCTGCAGGGCCCCAATTTTGAATTCTCCACTGAGACACATGAAGAGCTCCTATACAACAAAGAGAAGCTGCTCAACAATGGAGACAAGTGGGAAGCTGAGATTGCTGCTAATATCGAAGCTGATTATTTATATCGATGATAGAACGTTTTCCTCAACCTTCACATATTTTATCAGCATGCTCATCCAAAGTTAAATCTATAATAAAAGGGCAGGCATGCACTCTTTGTTTCCCTGTGTTGCGAAAGACAATAGAATTAACAGGTAGCCTTTCGGTTGATAATGTAGCATACATCATTCTATTTGCAGTTGGAAAGGTTGGGTGAGATTGAAAAACAAGACTTCTTTTTAATGCACGGCCTCTGATCCTGGACCTCATGGGATAAATTTAAGACTTTTTGTGTGGAAAGAAGTGGTGGTGAAGGAGAGAGAGAGAGCGAGAGAGACAGAGAGATGCCGACAACATTCTGTTGCCTTGTATCCTCTCTGCTCAATAAACTTTTGGAAAGGAAAGTGGCAGAACTGATATCATTTCTTTTAAGAAGTCAGTTTGAATAATCAGCAAACCCCATTATGATACGCTTGAAACCTCCATCATGTCGGAAACATGCTAGCTCATGTGGAAAAAAGTAGGCAAAATGTTTCTGTATTCAACATGCTCTTAACATGAACATTCAAATAGGTAGCTCTCACTATATGATTAATTTTCTGATAGATGCCATTATGAGAAGCCTGTGCCAAACAGTCTTAAATAGAACGGAAGGGACTGCTTTAACACAAAGAAAAATCATAGTTGTACAATTATTGGTACTCAGTAGTACTTTGTTGGGCATGGCTACATATGCTTGCTCCAACCTGTGAAGGAGTGAGGCAACATTCATGTACATCTGTAGCACTACATCCCTTAACACTTGTGTTGGCTGTGCCTACAAAAGAGAAGCACTTTTGTAGGCACTGGTGGTGTCCAGCTCTCCAAATATTCATGTTTACTATTAAAGCTATTAAAACATAGCCTTATATAATGTTTTAATAACTCAAAACATTAATATTCATTATGTAACAATTTAATTACTTCATTACTAAATGGTAGGTTCATGGCATGATGTCCTGTGACCATGCCAACTTATGATTGCAGTTCCAACAATCCCAGTTGCCGTCATTGCGCAAATCTGTAACCATTATTAGGACCTGTCACAAGTGCCTCTTGTTCAATGCCGCTGTAACTTCAAGTGGTCACTGAAGGACTACCTGTAATAACAGTTCAAAGGAAATACACATTCTGGTGTATTTTAATTTTAAATCTTTTTCAAAAGAAGTTTTTCTCCATAAGATTGGATATACAGTATTTCCAGTCCTGTTGGAGCATAGGTTTCCAGCCTGTCAATTGTATTGGAGGAATTTGTATTATACAGAAATTGCATTATCACCTGAATTAGAAATCTGTTAAAATCCTCCCCCATGCCCCAAATTTAATTTTCTGGACATTGTTTTCCGTAGTCTATATAATAGCATTAATCAGAAATAAATTAGACAGTTGCAGAGTTACTAAGATATGTATACAACAAAGATTTAAAAGTCAGGATTTGAATGGAGAAGAGTGAATTGTTCCATTTAATATTGATTCTGTGTAGCAGCAAAGAGAAGTGTCTTGCTAGCTGTTGTCATATAACATTTCCTGCTAAAATATTTTAATGCAAATGAATCAGTAGAATCAAATTTTTTGAAATAGGATCAGACATGGAGTATAGGAAGTCAAAATATGTTTAATGCCTGGAAAAAATGTAACTTGTATGGGGGTGAATCAGCTTTCACAAGCAAATGGTTATTGTATATCTTTTGTTGTACTTGTTTAAGTGTAGCATTGACCTGGCTTGGATTTGTACTTTTCTACCACATTGTTTTTAAACTAGAAAATTATTGGAAAAGTCTATTCACACTAAGGCTTGAAGGTGATATGGGGTAAATGAATTGACAAAATTTATAAAGTTCATCTTACCCCAGTGCAAAGATGTAGAGACTTATTAAGATATAATCTTTTTCTGGTTTCTGAAGAGAATATAGGAAGTAACTCATAAAACAATAAACTTGTGCAAAATTGTTATAGATATTTCTTAGTGGCACTGCTTTGCATGTTAAGTACTTCAGCATACAGTGCATGTGTGAAACTTGATACAATGCTATACTTGATAGATTTTGAAAGTTCTACTCACATGGATTGTTTGTTGTAGTATGTGAAATAGTTTGGAAATATCAGTACTTGCTTTCAGATTTTTTTGACTGCAAGTATAGCTCTCCATTTTTCTATTTTCCCCTCAAAATTATGTAGCTAGTATTCATCTGTTGATATAGGAAGCTCCAAGAAGCTAAACATCTTCATAAGAAAAAAACAAGAAAGTCCAGTTGCCTTTGGGATAACCATGACCTGGATGACTGAGAATCTCTACAACAAAGGTCTTCAAACTTGGCAAGTTTAAGACTTGTGGACTTCAACTCCCAGAATTCCTGAGCTAACATGACTGGAGGAGGAATTCTGGGAGGTGAAGTCCACAAGTCTTAAAGCTTTCAAGTTTGAAGACCCCTGCTCTACAGACTCTGTAAAGTTGAACCATTACCATTTGATGAAATAATGAGGAAGAGGTGGAGAGATGCATGCAAAACACAGATCTTTTACTGCTTTGAGCATGATTGTAGCTATAACATCTTTTCCTCACAGGTGAACTATCTTAAAACAACTACAGTCGATACTTCATATATTACACATAGAAATGGCTTACTTTGGTTGCAGCAACTTTGTAAGAGATAAAAGTGCAGAAAAATCTGGTGTTTACAAGTAAAAGGCTGTGACCTTGCATTTGTTACAGTTAGCCACATGGCATGGCTAAAATGCTGTGTAAAAGCCAGTATGATGCTGGCAAGCAGTATAAGCCAGCCACACATTTCATTTTTCCTGCAGATTTCATAATGGCATTGTTGCTTCTCTATAAAGATGATGTTCTGGCACCCATCATCAAAAAGTCCCTCTGATTATCAGGACCTGCGAAATAAATAACTAAATCTCAGCCTCTTAATAATGCCTTCACACTTTTTGATGATGCTACTGTGCTATCATGGTGCACAGGAGTTCATGGTCAAGGACTTACACATCCTTTGTGAGAGATGCTCAATCAATGCGCAGAGGATTAAGGTGCAGAAGAAAGCAAAAACTTCAGATTTCCTTTCGTTCTTCCGCTTCATTCTCTGAGAAGCAGGATTCGGTCTGCTCTCCGAGATCTAACCCTACTTATTCCCCCCAACTCGCTGGAAGCGTCTTCGAGCTGTCTATTAAGAGCTTCTGCAGAGCAATTGGCTGCCCGTGGGCTGTTCCGACACCATCGCAAAGCGGATACGTGTTTGTTTCTTCGCTCCCCGGCTTGCTCCGTCAACAACCTTTGTGTTTCTGGGCTCTCTTTTGAAAGTATCTCGTTTGGGTTTGGAGTGTTAGCCTTTCCGTCTTTTCCTTTAATTATTGCACGATCCAGCTAACTTCTAAGCGCCTCAGGCGCACAGCTCCAGGGTTGCGGCGGCCACCTGCTTGCCGGGAGGAGTGAATGTGGTTGGATTAGTAGCTGTTGTGGGGCGTGGGGCGGATGGAGAACCACTTAATGGTAGCGGCTTTTGCCAGAAGCGATCTTTCGGCCCCGGTGTGTCTTTTGAGGAATTAGGTCACATCTGCCACTGTATCTCCCATTTTCCAGTCACTGCAGAGTGGCCATGCCGGAGTAGTGTGTGCAGGAGTCGCCTCTGGAAAGTTGAGACAGCTCACGAGAGAGAGAGAGAGAGAGAGAGGCGATCCCCCACTCCCTTTCCCCACTTCCTTGTAACTAAAGCGATCTTTGCCGCCTTCACCAATCTTATTTATTTATTTTATTTATTTGATTTGCCAATTGTTTACAAGATAATAAGTATAAGTGTATACATAGTTGTGAATACATGAAATGGGTACATATAAGAAAAATAAAAGAATAAGAGAAACAATAGGACAGGGACGGTAGGCACGTTGGTGCGCTTATGCACGCCCCCTACAGACCTCTTAGGAAAGGGGTGAGGTCAATAGTAGACAGTCTAAGGTTAAAGTTTTTGGGGTTTGGGGAAGAAACTACAGAGTCGGGTAGAGTATTCCAGACATTGACCACTCTATTGCTGAAGTCGTATTTCCTGCAATCAAGTTTGGTGCGGTTTACTTTGAGTTTGTATCTATTGTGTGCTCTTGTGTTGTTATGGTTGAAGTTGAAATATTCACTGACAGGTAGGACATTGCAATGTATGATTTTATATACCATGCTTAAGTCAGACCGAAGACGGCGTAATTCAAGATTTTCTAGTTCTAGAATTTCAAGTCTGGTGGCATAAGGTATTCTACAACGAGTAGAGGAGTGGAGAACTCTTCTTGTGAAATATTTCTGGACTTTCTCAATTGTGCTAATATCAGATACGTATATCATATCAGATACGTATATCATATCAGATACGTATATCTGTGCTATTCTCCAAAAATATTGGACTTTAGTCATCAGATGTGGACCCAGCGTAGTCCTGCAGGTTGGGGATTATGGGAATGGAAATGCAAGACACCTGGAGAATAATACAGAAACACGGTCTCTATTTCAAGAAGTTTACTGGGTGACCCAGGAAAGTAATTAATAACAGCATACTTCTAGATCAGCCTGGTTTAGATGCAGCTGTTCAGGCCAAACACAAAATTTCCCCCTCTATTGTAACTGCTTCACTATCCATAAGAGAAGCAATATTTTTTGTTAATTTATACTAACATAAAGCTATACTAGCATTCCATTTTGATGATTTTCTCAAGAGCCCCCTTGATGAAAACTAATGCTGCTCTGTTTGGCTCCTAAAGATGCTTTCACTTCCACATTTGTCTGATAAAAAAACAACTTGTGATTTATTTTAAGGGTCTTATATTTTATGAGGGACCAACAAAATATTTCTGCAGGATGTAGTTTGGCATCTGGATGTATTGTTATTATCTATTTGTCTTTTTTGCATGGAATATTGCTAAACTTTAAAGGCAAAGTCTTCACTAAATCCTGAGGATGTCCTCAGCATGTCCGTGTAATTTTTGGGGAGCAATACAGAAAAGGATTGGCATTCCAGTCTTTCAGGTGTTCTGAAATTCTCAAGAGGTCTCTCATTTATCAGATTTAGGTACTGGGAATAATATTTTCTTGCTTATGTGATAATTGGAAGGGACATTTTCTGCATTAAAGTGATGAGTGGATTTATTTAGGATGTATTTACTCTCCATTAGCTTGATTTGACCAACAACAGAAAGCCAAAGTAGCCAAACAGGCTGAGATCCTGTATGACTTCAGCCTTTTCATTTTTGTCTCTGTCTTTAAGATGCATTAAGTCATTAAGTAGCATCCTTTCCATGTAAGTAGATGAGCCCTCAATCATTGTGGGTTGTTTTTGAAAACACAAAGTAGGTTGTGCAGAGTGTTTGAAGGGATTTGT